CGGTTGCACGTTGACATCACTCCAAGTCTGCGGCACATGGCCCAAAGAATGCAAGTAACACTGTATGGTGGTGTGGATTGGTGTCAATATACTTTTAAAACGCAGTGAAACTAGGTACAGAGTCATTTTGTATAAATAGGAAAGAGAAAAATGTATTAAAATAAAGCTCTACTAACATTCAGTCAGAGGCGCAGGTAATTGTGAATAGGGCCAATTAATTATTGAAATTGTTGCGTATTTGCTAAAGGGTCTTTTCAATATGTCTGTGCTCCTTTTCATATTTGTCTAAAAAACAGACTGCACTGATTTACATTTGGTATTGGTCCTATTTGACAAAAAGGTAAATAAAATCAGCACCTTGTCAACTGTATTTGTCAAACATCACAATCTCTAGGCAAACACAAATAGTTATATGCAGCCATGTCCACCATAGAGAAAACAAATTGGGAAATCATTTACAAATTTTAATAATGCAGTGAATTGTTGATAAGAGATATTGATTTTGATTTGATTAAAAAATATCTGATTGATTTTTATCTTGAACTATGATATTTGTTTCTTAGGTTTTCACGCACATTAGTCATTAAGTAAAACTAGTTAACGGGTGAATGCACAAACTTTATTTATTTATTGACGTTACGCAGCCTTTTGAGATCTGCATCGTCAGAATAATGATTTTTTATTTACTTTGTCAAGCTACCTTCGTAAGACCTTCGAGAGGAATGCATTAACCCGTTAAAACTAGTTTTATTGAACTATGATGTCAAAATTCACTTTATTTAGCTTCTGCAGTAACTTAGTGGTGTCACTTTTGTGTTACGATAATAGAGTAAGATAAAGATCCTTAATGTTCAATTATCAGTCTTTATCAGAATGCATGCAGTGTGGAAGGTGATTCAGAATGCTATGTATACTGGTTTTTAAGGTGTCACCTACACAAAGGGCTTGGGTTTGAATCTTGGGTGGGCAAATGTTTATAGATGAATACATCGAGTCTTGGCAGTGTAACGTTTGTTTCTACAAGAATATACTTATCTCTTATTTAACATTACATTGTATTTATCTGTTACCAGAGTAACATATATATCATAACACAAGCCATACTTTAGGTATTGGCTAATTCTGCTGTGCTAAAAAAAGTACAATAACTCTATTTTAGTCCATAACCTTCATATTTTCACTTTAAGTTTATTTTGAAGGTGCTCTTTATTTATTTCTCCTGCAATTGGTACAAATTTCATGTATATATGTTATGTAGTTTTTGAGATACAAGAAAAAAGTTAAAATTTTAAGTGCGTTTTTCCCAGAGACTTTTATTACACCATTTATTCATTTTACAATAATATTATACTTATAGTGAAAATTTTTTATTATTTTATTTGTCAAAAATTTATTCAAGGGCCTCTTGTTATTTTACATCCTGAGTTCTTATGAAGCTTGCTAGGCTCCTTATTATGAAACTATACTTAATATCACTGTAAAAAGTGATTAAAATAATGTACATAAGTTGGCAAATACACAATTCTCTAGAATAAAGTAAATATGATATAACATATAAATTTCAATAATATATTATTATGATAATAAATTCCTATATGGAGCTCATACTATGCAAAAGAAAATAATGAATAACTACATAATACACATAGTTCACAAACAATCATGACTCAGAACCAAGTTTTTTTTTTAATTTATGACCTGGTAACAAAGACCTTTAGGTCATAACTTAATTGGAAAATATTCATTACTTTGGAGTCACTACACTTCACTTCACAAAATTTCATCATTTAAATTGTTTGAATTGTATTTTTTATGTAATTATAAATAGGTTTATAGGATGTTGGATCTTTTAGTAAAACATTGAATGGCGTCGGGCGGGAGGAAGAAACAGACTTAAATGCATTAGTAAAACTGAGTTCACTAGCCAGCACAAGTCTTTGAACACCTCATTCAACTTTGGGAATCGAAAATAATGTGGTGGATCGTTCCTTCTTCTGCTTGACAGTGATTACATTGATTGTTTGAAACAATCCCAAGTCTTGCTAGGTGTGACAGCGCAGTATTATGACCAAATCTCAATCTGTTTATTGTCGTAATGAAATACTTATTTTTTATTGCGCCACAGATAGTACGAAAACAATAATATTTATCATAACTTGCACAAATATGTGACACCCTGTAAGGGTGTTGCAATTTCACTTTATTTATTATTTAAATAAACTATTAAATACTGTTAGATATCTATCTTTCTAAAATACATGTATAACAATTATAAATATTTGTGTTCATCATACTAATTAATGTTTCTAATTGGTTTGAACTCAGAACTCAGACTGCAGAAATACTGTGTTGTGCACCATCTGATTGTTTTCAATGTTCAGTCATGGGTATCAAGTAATAAAATAAACTAAAAGCCAACATACAAATCTACAATCTGTGCAAATGTTAGAATGTATCAGTTAAATACAAATATTCTAATTCATGCAAGATTAATGGTTTTAGAAAATATTAATGTACTGCCCATTTACAAATCCAATAAATAGAAAAAACATAAAATATGCAAATTAAATAAAAAAGAAATTGGCTAAACCGTACTTCCAGGGCACAAGTGGTGATACTTCCCACTATGCAATCAGTCTCTAAAATTACAATAAACTAATTTATTGCTTTTCTCCCGACTTTTGATAGGTACTGAATAAAATAATCCTACAGGGCATCATTCATCAATGAAATTTACCTTGCACATAACATATACATCAATAAAGTTAATTTAACTATGATATATATTTTGAGTACATAAATAATGAACTATCCAAAAGATTTAGCTGTAAATTCAATGACTGGTGTTAATCTAAGCATAAATCGAATAGGTACTTCATGCAATCAATTTTATTTTGAACAACTCTCACCATCTTTTAGCAACTGCCGCATCTCCTTTGTTCTCTGGAAGTTGATCTCCTCAAGCAACTGCTCCAGCATCGTAGCACTTTTTAGGAAAGTAGACCCACCGAGAGACATTTTTCAAAATAGTAAAACAAATCCCCGCGAATTTTTCAAGTAAACACTATGAAATGTCAACACATCACGACTGCAGCTACAGAAGGCAAATGTTAGTTCTACAACACATGTCAGCAAGTCCTCCAGAGATATCTAGTTTTGTAGGTACTAAACTCATAAGCTTATATGCTGATAAAATCACAAAAAGGATAGTTATTAGCTAAAGACTCGCGTTTTATTTGGGAGAAAATTCATCCGCCTACACTGCGGCCACAGATTACAGAAATAACCGCGGCCCCAGCTTGACAGTTTTTTTTCTTGACCTGGAAAAGAAAAAGGCAAAACTATGCAGCCCTATAGCTATTTAGTTTGACTGTTGCTTTAATTTAGGATAAGGGAAAGATAAGTTTTTGGCCAAAATGCGCGTTGGAGTACACATGGAGTACACTTTGCGGCGCTCGTACGCCAAAACTATTGAATTTATGAAAAAAGAGGTGCATACATGAATTGTAGGCAATTGTCTCTAGATTCATCTATACTAATATTATAAAGCTGCAGAGTTTGTTTGTTTGTTTGAACGCGCTAATCTCTGGAACTACTGGTCCGATTTGAATGATTCTTTCAGTGTTGGGTAGTCCATTTATCGAGGAAGGATATAGGCTTTTTTTTCAAAATTAGGGATCCGTAATAAAATTGCTATTTTGTAACACAAGGTGTAAAATCGAAAACCTATTTTTGCGTGCGCTGCAAAAACTATTGACAATACAACAAAATGATGTACTACGGGTTTGTAGATCCCATTAAGACCTACAAAAAAGTCCGCAAAAACATATATCTAGCTATCATGGTTTAATCACAATAACCGATTTTGTGTTTAAAATAAATATTAAATCGTCTGAAGAAAAAAAAAACTACGTTAAATATGTATCGTAATATTAATCTTTATTGAAATTAAGCATTATGTTATCAAGAGTATTTATGTAGAAGTAAAATACTTTTTGTTTCATCTCTATCGGATATTTCGTTTAAAAGTTATCACGTGTGTAAGATGTTAAGAGTTGGTACCTATTAATGAGTTATGGGCCATAGAGTTTTTTATCAACATAAAATTAAAATATGAAGTACCAAAATTAACATTGTATTACAGTATCTACATTATTATATAAAGAGAGAATCTGACTGATTCATCAACGTGGAGACTCTTCAAACTCTTGAACCTAGAATGATGAAATTTGGATTTATTGGAGAGATATGAAAATGTTACCCCTAAGTATGTTATAAAGGGGTTGAAAGTTTGTATGTTTTTATTTTTATTTTTGAGTCCATTAATTAAAAATTGGTAAAAACACTCTTGGTAAATTGAAATAATCAAACACATCATGTCACAGGCAAGTTAAGGTGAAGTTAAGAGAGGTAGTTGGGACGTTATGATCTGGATTGAGACTTAGTATACTTTTTATTCCGAAGAATGTTAGTTCATTTAGGATTCTCATAAAAATAAAGTAAATGCGGACGAAGTCGCGGCCGGCCACTAGTTATGTATATAACTGTTTTTATCATACAATGAGTCGGAAAGTAGAAATTGTCAAAAAACTGCTTTTAGACGTCATTTTTCCAATAAGGCTGCGCGAGCGGTAGAAATACGAGTTGGCAAAGTCGAAATTCGGAAAGAGCACCTCAAAATCTATTATATTACCCATTTTCAAAACTCCCGGAAAACTTTACAGGTAAAACTACCAAATGACTGTACTATTGGCTATTCGTGTCTGATATTTTTAAACTTGACATCAGTCTGTCCCATTTATTATTTATGAGTATGATAAGGACAGATTTTATCAAGTTTATTCACAACTAATTGTAGATAAGTTGATACATAAAAAACAAGGAAAATTAAAAATACTTAAGACAGGGCTGTAAGGATTTAATATCCTTTGCTTTCCAATATTATTAAGAAAAATGACACATTGTCATTTTTATTTGACATTGTCTGTTGACATGTCATGACTAGGGACACGATATCGAATAGAAAGTATCGATACTGTACTCATGAGTAGTATCGGTAAAAAAGTATCGTACTCGTAAAAGTATCGAAACAAAAGTATCGATACTTCAAAGTATCGAGTACATTTCATAGGGCCTTATCGGAACCTCTGTGGCCTGATGAGCAACCCCCCCCCCCCCCCTCAGTGTTAAAATAGAAAGAAAAACAATCGAATTTAATTATAGTACGTACGTATAATCAAAAACAAAAAAGGACATGTAAATTCACAAATTGCTATATTATGTAATGAAAAAATAGCTGTGATTTCTGACACTAAAAAAGTGTTCATTAATATTACATTCATAATTAGGTACAATGTTAATTAAAAAGATCGAAATCTTAAACAATTTAAAAGTATGAAACTTTTCAGATTTGTTTCAAATTAAACTTACTTTTCTTGAATTTTAATCATTAAAAAACATTATACCCACTTATGTTAACTTGAATCTGATACGTAGTTAACGGTTGTCATTGGCATGCTTCACTCAAGATTATAATTATAGAAGAGGTTACGTCCATCTTTTTTTCAGGTGGTTTCAAATAGGTATACACAGCACAGACAGAATAATAGTGTTACACTTGAATAAATCAAATACAGTCAAGCGAAAAGCACAATAAACGGCGAATCAATCACAGTTCCTAACAATATAATCGCTGAATAAATAACTATGAAACAAAACAAACCGCAAAATAAACACAGTCACAGATTGGAAAGAATTTGAATATGTCAGTTACTGACTTTATAACAACGCAATAGGGCATTTGACAGTTTTAAAAATAAAGTGCCAAAATAACGAAAAAGATATTAGTTTTGTTATCTATTGTCACGTAACCCAAAACGCTTGGGATTGGCGGAGCCTAAAAGGACGTCACACGCAAGTAAACTTCCGGTCAAAGTGACATGACATTGTATCGTTTGACGTTTCAATAACAGTCGTGTGACGTCACACACTAGTAAGACGCCATATTGCCCAGAGAAACGTTTTCGCGGCAACTTAAAAATTGAGTTTTTGATTTGGTTATTTTTACTGAAATACACGACAAAATGATGAATATCCACTTTTTACGGACTCCATAAACATTAGTCAATAACGTGAGATCGTTGCCTAAAACTTGTCAAATACCCTATGGAACGTTTTAGAAGGTTTGCTATGATTTAACAAGATGGCGTTGCCATCAATATGAGGCGCTTATCCAAAATTTTAAAGGTATCGATACTTGCCAAAAAGTACTCATTTAGTAAAAGTATCGAATACAAAGTATCGAGTACAAAAGTATCGGTATCGAAAGGAAAAGTACTCGATACCACAAAGTATCGATACTTTTTTCGTGTCCCTAGTCATGACAAATGAAAATGAAGTTGTTTTCTGTTTTGGCTAAATTCGTCTGATAGAAAGCTAAAGATAATTGAAAAGTTCAACATGTAAAAATTACACTTATCAACATGTGCAATCTGATAAGATGTTAATATTTAGGATTCAATTTTAGTCATAAAAATAGCTGGCACTAATAAACACAATTGATAACAATGTCTCTACCATCAATTCGCGTAACTTCGCGTTATCTTCGGATTTTACGTCGAAGCCTGCGTCTTGCCAGCGTACCGGTGAGGAGGATACGAGCTAGTGTGAGCGCCATCGGGTTCACCTACGGGAACAAGTGGCACTGGCATGAACATTGGGGATGGTCGTCCAGGCAATACATTATAGGAGCTGGTTCCCTGGGCCTGGCGCTTTTAGCAGCTGACCATGTATTTAACGGTAATTGCGTTAGTCATTGCATGTTGACTTTCCCCTTCCAGACCTCTCGGAAACGGACGTATTTGACATAAATCTCTTCTTCTTTCTTTTTTTAATGGCTCAACGGGGATATACCCACAATTCTGCCAATTTCACGTAGATAGCCACTACACGACAAGGGATTCTTAATAAAATTAATTTTGAAATGAGAAGTTGAAAATACCATTTTAAAAATTCTGTCACTTCCTATGTTGATACTAGCCTACTTCAGCAAGAAACCAATCTCATCTTGCTTAAATGGGCTCTCCTAAAAGTTCTGAAACTAATGGCATTTATCCTATCTGGTATTCTTTATGAGTTGTGTTTTTTTTCAGTTGGTATAGTATTATTTTCTTGGTCTTGCTTAAGCTCATGTATAATCTGTTGCAAACAAATTTACAAATTTTCCCATGCAATTAATCACTAATTGGATTTCTCAACACATTAATTTGCTTTCCTAGGGGTTTGACATATTAATTCACTTCATATTCATTCTTATATGAAAAATCATAAATAAAAAAAGAGTCATAAAGTAAGGTTATTTTAGCAGACGGGAATTGTCTGTTGTCTATGGTTGAACAGTGTTGCACCGAATAGTCTATTCAGAATATTTAAATTAATGTTTATAATCAAATAGTGAATTGATTAAATAAATAGTTATGGGCTAATAATCATCTCATGTTTATCAGTAATCCAACATATGCAAAATTTATTTGTTTGATATATACTGAAATCAATTTATTTGTAAACGAAGTAATTTAAAATATCCAACAGCATAGTGGAATCTTCAATAAACATCGGTAATAATTCAATTTCATTAAAGACCTCGAACTTTTCCACATCTGAAGAGCCAGCTTGGCAAAGTTTATTTTCTAAATAAGAACAATGTGCCTTTTTTGTATCCGAGTTTGTGAATTTCGTCTTATCCATGTTCATCTTAAGACCCCCTTTTTGGGAAGCACTACTAAGATCTTCGAGCATCATGTTAAGCTCTTCCAAGGTCTCAGCCATTAGAACTACATCTTCGGCGAAACAAAGATGCGAAAGGTACTCGCCATTAATGTTAATGCCTCGTCCTTTCCAATCCAGAAGCTTAAAAATATCCTCCAATGCAGCAGTGAACAGTTTCGGAGATATCACATCTCCCTGTCTCACGCCTCGCTTCAATTGGATAGGATTAGAGCTCTGGTTTTGTAATCGGACCGACAGAGTGGCGTTTTCGTAAAGGTACCTTAACACCTCGACATATCTGTAGTCTACTTGGCACCTTTGGAGAGACTGTAACACCGCCCAGGTCTCAATCGAATCGAAAGCTTTTTCATAGTCAACGAACGCCAAGCAAAATGGCAGATTATACTCTTCGGTCTTCTGTATAACCTGCCGCAGCGTATGAATGTGGTCTATGGTACAGAAGCCTTTTCGGAAACCGGCTTCTTCGGGTGGTTGGAAGTCGTCAAACCTGCGTGCGAGACGATTCGTAATGACTTTCAAAAATAACTTATAAACATGGCTAAGAAGCGAGGTTGGTCGATAGATTGCAAGGGTGCTTTGTCTCCTTTCTTGAAGAACAGGACAACCTCGCTTCTGGCACATGCTTTTGGCGTTCTGCCTTTGAGCATGATGGAATTGAAAACCCTCTGGAGGCAGTGGCGGGGCAAGACCTAAATTTGATGTGGGCAAGACAGATTTCGCGAGGCCCTGTTCTGTGGCGACCTAAAGGCGGATTTAATCATAAAAAAAAATAAGAAATTCGCTTTTAAACAATGCATAAAAATTTTTGAGGCGCGAGGCCCCTTGTAATTCGAGGCGGTAGCCCACGTCGCCCACGCCTTACGCCGCCTCTGTCTGGAGGACTTTAAGTATAGGTTTACCGCCCGCTCTCAGAAGTTCTGGTGTGATTCCATCATCGCCCGCCGCCTTGTTGTTTTTAAGTTGTTTCAGAGCCATACTAATCTCACACAGGCTGACGTCCGGGATATCTTCAGTGTAGTGTCGAGTAAGCTTGGCTCTGGGGTCTCTAGCCTTGCTTTCAACAGGTGCTTGCGTGGAATATAACTGTCCATAGAAACTCAATCTCCCTCTGGATTTCAGCCTTAGACGAAATGATGCTACCGCTGTCAGTGTTCAGTTTCGTCAGTTGGCTTTGCCCAATAGACAGATCTCTCGCGAACACTTTGGAGCCTTTAGCCTTAGCGTTCGATAGCCTCTTTGAAATAATGTCATTGTCAAATTTTGTATGGAAACCTGTACATCAGCACCACAACGGACGTAACGAGAACTAAAAATTAGTACACATTTGACGTATAAAATGGATTGAATTCAACTATTCGAATTCGATAATGGTTCTTGCTAAGGGTACTGGTCAATCAATCAATCAATGGTTAAAAAAATATTCGCCGTATGCCTTGTAAATGTTCGTTTACCGCCTTATTTCATCGTCACTGTAAAATCACCGTCCTCAGTCTGGAGTGTAGGGTGGAGTGGTAGTGGTTACTTTATTTAATCCTCCGGATCGTAATACTGGATGCATAATGCAATAGTGTCAAGGCGAGAAAAAACATCGTCATGGTTATATCGCCACAGATATCCAAAATCTACGAAGTCCGCTGTTTACTTCGGTGCTAGCTAGTGCCTGTCTTCAGTTATCTTAGCTAGCAACTCGATTGGAGTTTTTTTTTATCACTTTTTTTATGTTTTCTTCGGCAACGGCGGTGTTTGCTCGTCTTGACCTCGGCTCGTCTTTCAGTGACTTCTTGTCGAGTTTGAATTCTCGGCTCCAACGTTTTATGATGGCAAATGCCAGTGTGGACTCTCCATAAAATCCAGATGTCTGCAGTTATTTCCGTCCACATTTTATTAGTCTTTGTGAGGAATTTTATGATAGCTCTGTACTTTAATTTCTAGCAAAGCGCGGATGACTGAGACATGGTGATGTTCGCAGTTCAATTATTCATAATTACTTAAAGCATAATGATGTTAATGAAACTTGGTATTTATACTACTTAGGATAGTTGCAGTTATTGTTATGCAACACGAGTTATTAGCGATACTGAAAGGTAGTAAAACTTAAGCCGCCTCTCGTACCACTCCACTATGGAAGTCGTCTTCAAATAATATTAACAACACGGATTCATGTAAAATAAATAAATGTTATCGTGTTTGTCTTCTTTAAACATAGTTATCACCCTCATAGTGAAGTACAAATTGTTATATTTCAGAAAAGAGGTTTTTCAAAGCGGCCCAGCTCGGTAACATAGAAGAAATAAAAAGGTCAGTGACATTCCCTTCGGTAGCATTACATCATGGATAAACGTAGCAATCAGTCACATTCGACTCATATTTTTATTTATTTATTCATGGAAAACAAACAGCATGTTTAAACTAAGGATAAAACGAGATGATGTAGCATTGATATGCCTTATACAGTTTTCACAAATACAACTCAAATAAAATATACTTAATCCAATCGAGGCTGAAAACACAGTAGTAAAAAATTAAGCATAAAGCCATAAAGCCATACCCACAAAGAAAACGGTGATAAAAATATAAAGTAATTTAAATTAGGTTTCATTATTGTTATTAAAAAATTTACTATTCACAGTCTTTTTGAAATAATTTTCCAGCAATACGTCCACATCACTCGAATAATTATTATTGAAATTTTGTGTTACTCTATTAAAGTAGGAAGTCTGTCTATAATTTGTCGAACATAAATCAGTATGGAATCGCAGATAATTGCGTCCGGCAACCGTACGGAACGGTACCTGGATTTTAACCAACGATAGCAGCTTAAATTGTGGAAAAATATACTCCACAAGGCAAGTGCAGGCGGCGCCGGAGACGCGGCGCGAAGGGGACGGGTCGGGGGAGAGCGCGGCGGACCGCCGGCACCCGCTGGGCTGGACGGCGCTGATGGCCGCCGCCGCCAACGACCGGCCCGGCGCCGTGCGCGAGCTACTCCGGCTCGGAGCCCGGCCCGACGCGCGCGACCAGTACGCGGGCGCCGCCGCCGCCGCCGCCGCGCACCACTCCTCGCTGCACCCGCTCGAGGCCATGCAGCGCCGCGAGGACGAGTTCTGCCCCACCATGAACGCGCGCGCCTCCTTCCTCGGCTGGACGGCGCTGCACTACGCGGCGCTCGCGGACTCGGAGCAGGCGGTCCGAGCGCTGCTGGAGGCCGGCGCGGACCCCACGGCGCGAGACCACGCGGGCCGGCGCGCTCTGCACTACGCGCGCGATCCCTCACCAGCCCGAGACTTGCTGCTGCAGCACGCGCGACGCTGGGAGCAGGCCGCCGCCGCCGCCGCGGCCGAGGAGCGCCGCCGGTTTCCTCTCGAGCAGCGCCTCAAGCAGTACATCGTCGGTCAGGAGGGGGCGATCGAGACGGTCGCGGCCGCGGTGCGCCGCAAGGAGAACGGCTGGGCGGACGAGGACCACCCTCTTGTCTTCCTGTTTCTGGGCAGCTCGGGCATCGGCAAGACGGAGCTGGCGAAGCAGCTGGCGCGCTACATGCACCGCGACGACCCGGCGGCGTTCATCCGGCTGGACATGTCGGAGTACCAGGAGAAACACGAGGTGGCCAAGCTGATCGGCGCGCCGCCCGGGTACGTTGGCCACGAGGAGGGCGGCCAGCTCACGCGGGCGCTGGCCCGCCGCGCCGATGCCGTCGTGCTCTTCGACGAGGTCGACAAGGCCCATCCCGACGTTCTCACTGTGCTGCTGCAACTCTTCGATGAGGTGATTTTTTGTGATTGTATTAATAGGAATTTAGCTAGTTATCATTGACAGCCTCTGTATGTCTGCCCTCCCAGCCTGGGCGTAGGTTATCTCTGTGTATGTAATAGAGAAAAGGGATCGGTAGGTATGAACAAAGAAATAGTAGTAATGCTACCGAAATTCGAACCCAGGAGGGACCTTTCGTGTAGGCGACACCTTGAAACCCGGCCTCTAAACTAAGAGGTTGTCTAATATTTAATGTTTCATCAATCAATTAAATCATTCTTACTCGATAATTAAAGTTTTTTCAACTTTCATATATTTCATTGATTAGGGTTAAGTGCATTACTTATTTCTTTATTTATTTATGGGTACATCAACAGCATAACATACAAGACATTTGTACATAAATGATGATTTTACTGTTTACATATGTTTGTCAATTATATATACACATATCGTTTATCCCATATCCTTTAACATTAATTAAATTGAAAAGAACATTATGTTTAACAACCACTGCTATTATTGATTTATTATTATTTCTTAATTAAGATTTCGTTATACGCGTTCCATACCCTAGTTTGTATATTAAATATTTTGCATTCTTTATAGCGCGGGTATCTACAGGGTTATTATTACTTTGTCGGTGTTTCCCAAATATAACATCTTTAGCTGATACCGCAGCATCGAGTAGTTTATGGGATGCTCAATCCTCAGAATCTCTTATCTAATAGACAAGTCCGTCCGTCCGTCCGTGGTGCTGTTTCAGCGGAGAGTCTTCCTTAAGAGATAGATATAGAGAATGTTTAAGTTATAAGTTGAGAATAGTCTGATAAGACTACAAACCGGATGTGAGTAACGTAGCACTTCCGGTTTTCGAGAAATCACGTTATTTCTATTTCAAACGAAACCACACAAAATCTCCGAAGTTCTCAATTAGTTAAATTTTTGTTTTTGTTTTTTTTTTTTTTGGTGAACATTTGGTTCACCGGTTTGCTAGTCTTGCACTAATCGAAGTATGCGCGAGCGACAGCGCCGGAGTATGGATTTCTAACAATTAGGAACATTCGATCAGGGCCGGCTGACGGACGGCAAAGGCAAGCTGATCGAGTGCAAGAACGCGGTATTCGTTATGACATCCAACCTCGCAGCGGACGAGATCGCTCAGCACGGGCTGCAGCTGCGCCGCGAGGCCGACGCCCGCGCCGCGCAGCGCACGCGCGTGATCAACGCCGACGTTAAAGGTGCGGTTAAAGGCGCACTAAGGGTGCGGCCAGAGTAGGGTTGCCACCCGTACTTTATTATAAAGTATTGTACGTTATTTCGGGTAATTGTACTCTATACTTTATGCCAACAATAAAGTACGCGAAAATACTTTAGTTAATGTAATTTGATTGCTCGGGGATTCATTTTCTGTAAAATATACAAAAGGAGGTTGATAGGAAGATTTTTTGCGTAAAACGGATAGAAAGTATGATTATGACGCCCTTAGCTAATTCCTTCAACATTTTCGTGGCTGTATGCCTTTGTATCATGACCTTTCCCATTGCGGAAAAGAACTACAGATTTTTAGTAGCCGCAAATTATTTATTAAAAGTTGCTAGTAGCATCGTAAAATATATTTTTAAGCTTACTAATAAAGTGATATAAAAAGTACTTTATTTTGGACACAATGTACTTTATTTCGCCAAAAAAAAGGTGGCAACGCTAGGCCAGAGTGCACTCAGATTCAGATTCAGATTCAGATTTCGAAAACAAGCGCGAGAAATAAACAGTGTAGTCGAAGGGTACGGCCAGATTGCGCTCCTGATTCAGATTCAGATTCAGACTCAGAAAACAAAGCGCGAGAAAAAGCAGGCAACCTGCTTAGACTACACTGTTTATTTCTCGCGCTTGTTTTCAGAATCTGAATCTGACTCTGAATCTGAGTGCACTCTGGCCGTACCCTAACAGAGTACCCTTAGTACGAGTTTTACAATTACGAAAACTATTATAGTTTTCGAGAGCTTGCTCTCGTACTAAGGGTACTGATTTTATTGTTTTCGTTTTAACAGTGTTTAAATTCTATAATTAGACTTAGAAAACAAAAAGGGTAGATACGGTACGCTCATACTTGCATCAAACAAAAACTGATCCCACGGCAGCGCGAACGGGACGGCGAGATCCGCGTCACTGCATTACCGACCCGAACGAAACGGCACGTTAAGTTTCAACGGCAGCGCGAACGGGACGGCGAGATCCGCCTCACTGCACTACCGACCAATCAGGCGACCAGTACTCGACGTCGCTACCGAATAAGATTCAAAACAAACAACAATTCTTATGAAAAAATATATTTTATAGTACTTACGAATGAAAAGTGATGCCGTGGGTTTTATTTTTAGTTCTTGAGCAATTTGAGCACTTTTTAAAAACAGACTTAGGGATTGTTTCATCATATAAATACAAAATATTAACAATATTTCTTTTGGGCGTTCACATGTGCGTCGTTTGCATGTCAAGTTGTGACTAAAGCGATCGTGGACCACTATTGGTGCGGATCACTTTTGTGAGGCTAGTGCCGTATCTACCCTTTTTGTTTTATTCTAAGTAATTAGAATCAATAAAAATTGTGTTTTCTTAAATTTTAAGTATTTTTGGTTACTTTTCACCAAAATGGACATAGAAACATAATTTACAATTACGAAAACTATAATAACTATACTCATCGATGCAAGCACGCGGTGTCCGTGATGACATCCAACCTGGCGGCGGCGGATAAGGTCGCTGAGCACGGCCTGCAATTAGCCAATTCGTAACATCAAAGTGACCGTTCTAATGTTGCCATATACAAAACTTAAAAAATTACAAAGTCCAGGATTCATTAGACAGACTGTTTTAAGTATTGAAATTTCAAGTTAAAATATGTCATGTAATAGGGGTGATGACGGGGTACAGTAACCGAAATTCTATTTGGTCCGTCAGTTAGATGATCAAAAAATAATGGACACGTATTTTTTCTTTGGGCAATCAACCAAAAAATGACAAAGTTATAGCGCGTCACTTTTGAGTGAATTTTGTGTAGGTACTCAAACGTGACGTCACGCGACTTTTCAAATCAACATATCTCTGCAATGTTTATATTATGTGAAAAAAGAAAAAATACGTGTCCAATACTTTTTGATAATCTACCTGATAAACGAAGAAAAAAAAGCAGTCATCATCCCTATTGTTGTAGCACTTTCAATTACTGAACAATTTACTTTTATTACATAACAGCTGTTCTTTTCAAGCGCTGTCAATTACATGTGATGGTTTGTAGTATGTGTGGTGTGGTAGGATGTCATGACGCCAACTCGATACATTTCGTGCCAAGCACTCCAAGAAACATTAGAATGCGTCACACCGACATTCTAATGTAAAAACAAAAAGAAGATTAATTTCATTAAAGACCAGGCTGTATGGGCATTGTTCCCTTTGCCTTCCCTAAAACGGGAGAACTTCAACAAAAAAAAAACAGTTTGTAACCAAGAGTCCCTACACTTAATTTGTTCCTTTCCCATAACAGAAAGCCACGAGAAGACCGAGAGGGTGGAGCAGCAGGAGACACTAGAAGTATCGCGGCACTTCAAGGACAGCGTCGTCCGGCCCATTCTGAAGCGGCACTTCGGTCGCGACGAGTTCCTGGGCCGCATCAACGAGATCGTGTACTTCCTGCCGTTCTCGCGGCAGGAGCTGCTGACCCTCGTGCAGATGGAGTTGGCGCGATGGGCTGAGGCGGCACGAAGGCGGCATTCTGTGGAGCTGAGATGGGAAGGTGGTGTATTGGGATGTCTCGCTGATGGGTAAGTATTTTACTCTTGCTAAGAGGGGGGGGGGGGGGGATGGGCAGGCAGAAATAGTAAATTTTGATTTCTGACTGATGGGTGAATGTTTTGCTTTTATATATTATTAGAGAGGGAGAGAAATCTTATACTTTCACGTTGTATTACAGATATAATATTTTTCGATTTAAATTCCTGCACATTATTTTATTATATATATATATTTTTATGGAGTAAAGAAATAATCTATCTTAAAATATAGTTATTAAGTCCCCGATATTCACGCATTATATTGCAAGCGCCAGGACACGGTAATATTATCTATACAGTATTCTATTTTCATACAAACGGTCGGAAAGCGTGTCATACCTACGCCACTCGAGTTCGCGCGGCACCCGGTGGGCATCCAGTCGCGAATGCGCCGCAGCGACGACCGAACGCTGTGAATTGTTTTTTTATGCAGTTAGCCGTGCTTAAACGTGCGATTTGTATTGTGAATATTTGATTGAATTAACTAGATACCTACATAATTTAATATGGCAAAGACTTAATCGATATTCTGCCGTATTTGGTTGCTTCAACTCTTCAATAACGCACCCAATATGAAAAAAAGGCATATCAATTGTAAAGTAGCTGCAGGTATATATAACCAAGTTAAAGATATTCCCTTTTCTGCTCCTTGCCAATGTTTCCCTAAAGTATTTTTAATTAAACTTTTTATAGGAATGCGTATTTATTATACTATTAAATTTTATAATAAAGCTTTTCGTACGTCTCAGTCGAGGCGTAAATATTTTTCTGTCTTAAATCTATTTTTTTTGACGTGACAACGTCTTAAATTAGGTTGCGGCTGGGAGTCACTTATGAAAAAGTGTAACGCTCGGTAACGTTACGATGAGTCTCTCGTGTTAAGTTTAAGTTTACATGTACAATGTTTTAGTAAACAAAATATATTTCTATAGTTAAAATTTGTGCAATTCTTATTTTCATTCAATTCCTTGTTCCTATTGTGCAATTTAATTATATTCATATCAATAAATATTCTACCGAGAAAAAGACGTTGTCACGTAAAATCTTCGCCCGTAAAACCGACTTTACAGGCAACCATTTTTTTCATTAAATGTTCCCTAAGAATAACGTGTATTTTATTGAAAACTTCCTAATTAATTCAAAACTTTTTTTTTACATATAAAATAAAATATTTACATTCATAAAACTAGAAAGAAACTCAATTATGTAGATGAAATTAAAATACTGAAGGCGGGCAGCCCTATCGCGTGTTAACGCCCCGCTCGGCCGAAGGCAGTTATTTCAAGGACAGGGCCGAGTCACAATACTGTATAGATAATATTACCGTGACCATGATCACGGAGTAACTGAAGTTATTGCGGGAGATGTTATTGACGTCTTCTTTTCTTGCGCTCGACATTCCTACCACTAGCAGGGCCTGATCCAGGGGTTGGGGGGGGGGGGGGGGGGACATTTGCCCAGAGTGGCAAAAATTAGGGGCGGCAAAATTAACTCTGGGTCAGCCCTAAAGTACATCACTAAAGGGCGGCAAAATTTCTAGAACGGTCACTATTCACTCGCACCTGATCCCGATGCACAATACACACAATATCGTTAATAACTAATAATGTTAGTGACTATGAAAGTTTAAAACAATCGTAAATTTGACGACCTCCGTGGCCGAGTCGTTTGTACGCCATTGGTGTCGCCGACTCGAGGGGTCCCGGGTTCGAATCCCGGTGGGGGCAGATGTTTGTGTGATGAATACGAGCATTTGTACTCCAGTCATGGATGTTTAATATGTATTTCTATATAAATATACTTATATATGTACAGTTTGTGTATTCTATCCGTTACCCTAGCATCCCATAACACAAGCCTTACAGTGCTTACTTTGGGGCTAGGCTAATCGGTGTGAGTGTTGGAAATGTTTATCTAATATATAAAATTCTCGTGTCGCGGTGTTTGTGGTTAAACTCCTCGGAAACGGCTTTCCCGATTCTCATGAAATTTTGTGTGCATATTGGGTAGGTCTGAGAATCGGACAACATCTATTTTTCATCCCCCTAAATGTTAAGGGTAATCCACACTTAAATTTTTTTAACCCCAAAGTAAGCCCTATAAGGCTTGTGTTATGGGATGCTAGGGTAACGGATAGAATACATATACTGTACATATATAAGTATATTTATATAGAAATACATATTAAACATCCATGACTGGAGTACAAATGCTCGTATTCATTTCCCACACCGGGATTCGAACCCGGGACCTCTCGAGCTAGGCTAATCGGTGTGAGTGTTGGAAATATATATTTATTTATTTATTTAAATTCCCCCTCCAGATACGACGTCCACTACGGCGCGCGTTCCATCAAGCACGAGGTGGAGAGGCGAGTGGTCAATCAGATCGCTTTGGCGGCCGAGAGAGGCGCCCTCGCCCGGGGCTGCAGCGTGCTGCTATCGGAGGCCGGGGGCAGGCTGTTACTCGCAGTGAGGACCCCGCCCGCCACCGAATATACGCCGTTAGACCTCGCTGCGGCATAGACAAAGCCGAGGTCAAACCCCCCTCCCCCCTCCCCATCGCAAATGATACAGACCTCGCTGCGACATAGACAAAGCCGAGTTCCCCCCCCCCCCCCCCCCCTCCCCATCGCAAATGATACAGACCTCGCTGCGGCATAGACAAAGCCGAGGTCAAACCCCCCTCCCCCCACCTCATCGCAAATGATACAGACCTCGCTGCGGCATAGACAAAGCCGAGGTCCCCCCCCCTCCCCATCGCATATGATACAGACCTCGCTGCGGCATAGACAAAGCCGAGGTCAAACCCCCCTCCCCCCACCTCATCGCAAATGATACAGACCTCGCTGCGGCATAGACAAAGCCGAGGTCCCCCCCCCCCCCCTCCCCATCGCAAATGATACAGACCTCGCTGCGGCATAGACAAAGCCGAGGTCAAACCCCCCTCCCCCCACCTCATCGCAAATGATACAGACCTCGCTGCGGCATAGACAAAGCCGAGGTCAAACCCCCCTCCCCCCTCCCCATCGCAAATGATACAGACCTCGCTGCGACATAGACAAAGCCGAGTCCCCCCCCCCCTCCCCATCGCAAATGATACAGACCTCGCTGCGGCATAGACAAAGCCGAGGTCAAACCCCCCTCCCCCCACCTCATCGCAAATGATACAGACCTCGCTGCGGCATAGACAAAGCCGAGGTCCCCCCCCCCTCCCCATCGCATATGATACAGACCTCGCTGCGGCATAGACAAAGCCGAGGTCAAACCCCCCTCCCCCCACCTCATCGCAAATGATACAGACCTCGCTGCGGCATAGACAAAGCCGAGGTCCCCCCCCCCCCCTCCCCATCGCATATGATACAGACCTCGCTGCGGCATAGACAAAGCCGAGGTCAAACCCCCCTCCCCCCACCTCATCGCAAATGATACAGACCTCGCTGCGGCATAGACAAAGCCGAGGTCCCCCCCCCCTCCCCATCGCAAATGATACAGACCTCGCTGCGGCATAGACAAAGCCGAGGTCAAACCCCCCTCCCCCCTCCTCATCGCAAATGATACAGACCTCGCTGCGGCATAGACAAAGCCGAGGTCCCCCCCCATAGCAAATATACGCCGTTAGACCTCGCTGCGGCATAGACAGACAGAAACTACAACCTCTGTTGTTGTTGTTGCCTAAAATGGCCGAGGTCCCCCCCCCCCCCCCTCTCAAATAGCGGAATGCACGCCACTCGCTGTTCTTTAGGATAAACATGTTACATCCTTACCTCGATGACAACAAAGTATCTTTGCCCCCCCCCCCCCTCTCGTCGTTGTTTAGTATTGCAGAATATACCCCCTTCGCTGTTGTCTAGGACTCTAGGATAGCAGAAACACCCCTGTCGCCGTTAACCCCCCTACCCCCCCCCCCCCATCCACTCGTGCAGTTGCAGGATGCTACATCCTTATCTCGACGACAACAGAGGACCTCCTCCCCCCCTCTCGCACCTCTGTTGTTGTTGTTGCCTAAAGTGGCCAAAGCCCCCCCCCCCCCCCTCCCCCCTCCCCATCGCAAATGATACGATTTCTTGGATAGCGGAATGCACACCACTCACTGTTATTTAGGATAAACATGTTACATCCTTATCTCGACGACAACAGAGGACCTCCCCCCCCTCTCGCCGTTGTTTAGTATTGCAGAATATACCCCCTTCGCTGTGGTCTAGGTCCCATTCCCATTTACCTTAGTTCAATATAAGCAGTATCGGTTAGCTATATCATATTCAAACATATTGTACTGAATAGATTTCAAAACGACCAGGCAACTATATTACTAACTTTCTTTTGATTATTTATTACTAGTTTTCGTAAGACAATAAACATTTGTAAAGTCTGACCAGAGATAGAAAGTCTAGCTTGGAGGCGCTTGCCTGCATCACCTTGCAAAATTATTGTTAGGTAGAATTATGGCAACACTAGCCCCTTCCGTTTCCAGCTAGAAGAGCGTCCACATGTGTCTCGTAGTCCTAATGTTAATTAAAGTAAAATATAATAAAACAGCTGATAAAAGTGAAGTATATTTCTTTATTAGTCAAACCTCTGAGCCTAACATGGTGTCAGAAGTCTCAAAATTATGGAAAAAATGGACATAACAGTCGAACAAAGTAAAGCGTCGGTTCCGCCATCATTGCCGCAACAGTCACTAGTAAGTACAACAATAATGGAAAGATTGGATTTAAGAAGTGGAAACATGCCGCTTACATGGAAGAATTGGGCAAATAGACTAAAAATATATTTACGAGCGAACAAACTAGAAAATGAGCCAGATCAAAGAAAGGTCGCCATTTTGTTACAATTTATCGGTGTCGAAGCACTTAATATTTTCTATTCATTTGATGTCGATTTAGACACTATAAGTTACAGTGCCCTTCTTGAAAAGTTCGAAACATATTTTATGCCTAAAATTAATGTCACGATGGAACGCCACAAACTGTTTAATAGGCATCAAGGATTAAATGAATCCATTGACGACTATGTCACTGATCTAAAAAATATAAGCCATCAATGTGAATTTGGAAGTCTTCGAGAGAATCTGCTAAGAGATATATTCAGTCTAAATCTTAATAAAGATAATCAGTATATAAAGGAAAAAATATTGAATGAGTCTCCAAAAACATTGGATCAGGCAATAAACTTAGCTAAAACTTATGAAGAAACAAAACGTCAGGCCAGAGTCTTAGAGCAGTCAAGTAACAATTTTGTTGGTCAAGTACACAAGTCTTTCAACAAGTCAAAGTCATTTAACAGTCGTTCAACCAGCAGAAGCCGCTCAAAGTCACAGTCAAAGTGTGGTCGTTGTGGTCAAACACATAAGTATAAGTGTCCTGCAATTGGTGTTCAGTGCCATAAATGTAAAAAATTTAATCATTTTGCTTCACATTGTCGGTTTAAATCTATAAAGGTAATAGAGTCAAACAGTAATAATAATGTGTCTTCTGAAAAATTGTTTTTAGGTGCAATTTTCTGTGTAAACAATGTATCTTCAAAAGAATATCAACCATGGACAATAGAGTTAAAAATTAATAATTACAATGTAAAATTTCTTTTAGATTCTGGTGCAGATACAAACATAATATCATATGACACATTCAAAAAATTAGGCATTTCAATTTCAAAAATAAAGAAAAGTAATCATACCATTTCAACATTTAGTGGTGAAGTTATACAAACAGTAGGTCAATGTAAAGTCTTGATCAGACATAAAAATAAAGATTATTGTATAAATTTCCACATTGTTGAGCTAAATTGTCAAAATATTATTGGTCGGGAAACTGGTAAGGTGTTAAATTTAATAAAGAAAATCAATTCTGTTTCTTTCAGCAGCTACAATAATTCTAATTTGGAAAGCTGTAGTCAAAACATTATGTCTAAATATAGTGATCTTTTTGATGGTTTGGGTTGCTTGACAGATTTTGAGTGCAATTTTACCTTGAAGCCAGATGTCACACCATCTGTTGATGTTTGTAGAAGAGTCCCATTCAACCTGCAAAATGCACTAAAAAAAGAACTGAGTAACATGGAAAAAAATGGTGTGATATGTCCCATAGCAGAGCCAACACCATGGGTAAGTCCATTAGTAATGGTTTCTAAAAAGAATGGTCAAATGAGAGTGTGTATGGATACCAGAAAGTTAAACAAAGCTATAATGAGACCTCATTATCAATTCCCTACCTTAGACGAAATCAAGTCAAAGCTTCAAGGTGCTAAGTATTTTTCAACATTAGATGCAAATAAAGGGTATTGGATGCTTCCTTTGTCTGAAAAATCTTCAAAGCTATGTACTTTTATAACACCCTTCGGCAGGTATAGGTTCACTCGTCTCCCCTTTGGTATCAATGCAGCGCCTGAGATATTTCATAGCGAGATGGTAAAAAGGTTTAAAGACATAGAGGGAGTTGAAATAATGATGGATGATTTTTTGTGTTATGGCAGTACGCTGGCTGAACATAATGAACGATTAGAAAAAGTTTTAAACAAGGCGCGAGACTGTAACATTAAATTCAATAAGGAAAAGTCAAAACTTTGCCAGCAAGAAGTTAGGTATCTAGGTCATGTTTTTAATTCTGAGGGAATCAAAATGGATAAAACCAAAGTAGAAGCTATTTGTAAAATGCGTAGTCCCACCACTGTCACAGAATTGCAGCGATTTATGGGTATGGTGAATTATTTAGGTCCATTTATTAAAAATTTGTCACAAGAGACAACAAATATGCGATCTCTTCTTTCAAAAAATGTAGTTTGGAATTGGACTGAACAGCATGAGTCTGAATTTCAAGTTATAAAAAATTTAATCTGTTCCGCTCCAGTTCTTATATATTATGATCCTAATAAAAGCATTATTTTATCAGTAGATGCTTCCAAAGATGCAATGGGAGCTGTTTTGTCACACGATAAACAGCCAATAGCATATGCATCAGGAAGTCTTACCAAATGTCAACAAAACTATTCCCAGATAGAAAAAGAGCTGTTAGCAGTACTATATGGCTGTACAAAATTCCATCAATATATTTATGGTAAGCAATTCACCATAGAAACAGATCATAAACCATTAATAACTTTATTTAAAAAAGCATTACAGGATGTACCACCTAGGTTACAGCGAATTATGTTGAGATTACAACCATATGATATTAATATTGTATATAAACCTGGTCGTTATCTGTATATAGCTGACACTTTGTCAAGGAGTGCTTTGCCAGAGCAATCATTAGTCGATATTGATCAAGATTTGGATCTACATGTTAATTTACTTATGTCTAATCTGTCAGTCAGTCCTAAAAAATTCAAACAAATACAAGAATTAACTTTAAAAGATAAGTCATTGTGTCAATTAATTAATTACTGTCAAAATGGATGGCCAGAGCACAAGAGATTGCTCAGTCAAGATACTAAACCTTATTTTGCAATTAAAACTGAAATTCATGTCTTAGATAACATTGTCTTTAAGGGTGATAACATTATAATTCCTGAGTCATTAAGACAGTCTATTCTTGAGCTCATACATAATGGTCATCAAGGCATTAATAGCTGTATCCGTTTAGCTAAAACAACAGTATACTGGCCACAAATGTATACTGATATTGAGAAATATGTAGGTAAATGCAGGGTGTGTCTATCATATAGAAGAAATAATAGTAAAGAACCAGTACTCCATCATGATTATAAGTTATTGCCATGGCATAAAGTTGGTATTGATTTTTTTGATTTTAACAACAATAAATATCTTATTGTAGTAGACTACATGTCAAAATATGTTGAAATTGCTATTTTAAAGTCAAATTTCACTGCAAGTATTGTAATTACTCAATTAAAATCTATTTTTGCCCGTCATGGTATTCCAAATATTCTAATTTCTGATAATGGTCCACCATTTAGTAGCAAAGAGTTCAATAATTTTGTAAACAATTGGGACATTGAACACATTACATCCAGTCCTTATTTAAGTCGTTCAAATGGAATGGTGGAAAGAACAGTTGGAACTATAAAAAATATGTTAAAAAAATGTCATGCTGATAATTCAGATCCATATTTAGCACTATTATCTTATAGAAATACACCTAAGTACAGTAAATACTCACCTTCAGAATTGTGTATGTCGAGAAGCTTAAGAACTCTAGTCCCCATTAGTGAAAATAACTTGCAGTTTAAAGTAATAGATAATGATAAATTAAAGGATAACATTGAAAAACAAAAATTAAAATCGTCCATTTATTATAATAAAAATAGTAAACACTTAAAACCATTGTCTGTAGGTGATCATATCTTGTTTAAACACAAACCGAATAGTTGTTGGGTTCCAGGTATCATTTCACAAGTAGGTCCAGAACCTCGTAGTTTTGTTATTAACAGTCCTGAAGGAATATTCCGTAGAAATAGGCAACACATTTTGAAACCATCTCATCCCATTGACAATTTTGATAATTTAGAGGCCCATAGTAATTTAAAGTTGTCACCATCAGAACTAAAAGCCACATCTGATTTACCTATGGTCAGCGATAGATCAAAATCTAGATATGGGCGTACCTATAAAATACCTGAAAGACTAAACATTTAAAAATCATTATTACAGTCATATGATATTATAGTTTGCATTTGGTATGTGTATCTATGTATTATTACAAATATATCATAAGATACTCTGTAAACATTGTTGTTGAGTTAGTTATAAGTACATAATGTTTCTATGAAAGTCATTTTCATTTAAGTAAATAAGTAAATTTAGTTTTATTTTCAGTTTATATAAGGAAGAAAGGAATAGTTATGCTTAACTAATTTATCCAATAGTCAATCTGTGTAAAAATAAATAGGTTGAGAAAAACCTGGCTATGAGATTGTTGTATTTAAATAACTTACGTATAGATATTGTATCTAATTGTTAGAAAAAAGAAAAACTTAACTGCCTTCAGTAAATAAAATATGTAATTAACACATTAATATTTTTAAGAAATGTCAAGTAATCAAATGTCACTGTCAGTTTAAAGTAATATCAATGTTTGTTTTTTTTTTTCTCTAAGTTTGGGTTAAGAACATTGAGCCATAGTGAACATTCTTTGTAATATATTAAAAAATAAAATAAAGTGTTTATAGAATCAAAATAGGTCTGTTGCATAAAATTGTAAAGCTATCCTTCTTTGTTTTGTAAAAGGAAAGATGTTAGGTAGAATTATGGCAACACTAGCCCCTTCCGTTTCCAGCTAGAAGAGCGTCCACATGTGTCTCGTAGTCCTAATGTTAATTAAAGTAAAATATAATAAAACAGCTGATAAAAGTGAAGTATATTTCTTTATTAGTCAAACCTCTGAGCCTAACAATTATATGGTCAATTAATCTGCGTTTAAGCAATATGAAGAGATATTTATTTCTCTGGTCAACTGTAGTGGTAGTATTGCTAT